TGTGACATAAGCAGATTGTTGTTATCTTCTTATATTTTACCTTTATACTGTTAAGTTTTAATCCTCTTTTAGACTAAAAAGGGAATTGTAGGGGAAGCTGTAGCCACGCCTTCTTAGGGGCTGGCTACAGGTGTGCCTGACCAGGCTTGTGAGGGCGTGGTTAGAGTGACGTAGTGGGACTGCGTTTCGGTTTTGGTTTCTCTTTGCTTCTTGCTGTACAGACGGCTACCACCGGCTGGCTGGTTCGCTCTGTAAGTAAGGCTTTTCCCTATTAAATACCCTTATATTTCTACCTGACTCCGTATTGGTAATTTCCCACTATACTAAACCCTGAATGACAACGAGGCCCAAGGTCATATGTGCTGTGAAGCCTTCTTCCCAAGCAAGTAGGTGCTGGCAACCATGTCAACTATACCCAAAAGAGTACCCCAATAGACCTGGTTCATGTAACCTGGAAATGGAAGACACGTAGTGACTCACACTATCCTTCTACATAATTTCTTTAGCTCTTATGTGCTAGTGGCTCTTGTGTGTTTAGCAGAGGCTTTGTGTATGTCCTCAAAATATCATTTCCTGTATTTACACAGTTCCTTTGCTTCTTGTGTGTTAGCAGCTCTTGTGTGTTTAGTAGCTCTTGTGTTGTGTTTTTAGCAGAGGATCTGTGTGTGTCCTAGAAATGTCCTGCGATGAAGCTCCACGTTGCTCAGAAATCTAAATTTTGCTACTTATGTCAACAAGAGACATTAAAAAAAAAAAAGAGCCTGAGCTATTTTTCACTATTTCCAACTCTCATTGTTTTAAAAAATGTGCCTGAGTGTTTTGCTTGCAAACATGTCACTGTACCACGTGTGTGCCTGATACTTACAGAGGTCAGTATATGACACAAGATCTTCTGGAACTGGAATTAGGGATAGTTGGGTACCACCATATGGGTGGGAACCAAACCCCAGTCAGTCCCCTGCAAAAACAGGCAGAGCGTGTGCTCAACCACCGAGCCATATTTCCAGCCTTTTAATTATGCTTATGCTTGATGGGGGATGTTCTTCTGTATATATGTTTCTCTTATTGGTTGACGCTAAAACACTGGCCAGACAGGAAGTATAGACGAGGTTACGAGATGAGGAGATTCTGGGTAGAGGAAAGAGAGAGAAGCGAGAGGAGACGCCATGTAGCGGAAGGCAGAGTAGCAGGTCCTGACCCTTCTCCAGTGAGGTGAGAAATACCACATGGAGACACCTACACAGAAATGGGTTAATAATTAAGACAGAACTACCCAGTAAGAAGCCCAAGCTATCGACCAAACAGTTTCTAATCAATAGAAGCCTCTATGTTTTTATTTGGGACTGTGGGACCAGGCGGGCCAGAAACCCCAACTACACTTATTTCTAACAGGAATTCTGAATTCTATCCAATAGAATATGAATAGTGACTAATACTCTTGACAGTGAATGCTGTAAGAAGGGTAGAAAACGTTTGAATATTAAAAAGTATTACTACATGTACAATTTTATTCCAGGATTTATAATCCAGATCTCAAAATCTTAAGAAATGAGCTAAAAGTTTACTAAAGGAATTATGTTATTCACAAAATGATATAAATATAGTACACTAATCATTTATTAATAGCAGGTTTCTCATGGTTTGACAGTTTTAAAAGCCTTAATAAATAAAACACATCAAGGTAAACGTTTATTCTGCAGTTTCTTTAGCTAGAACAGCTACCCTTCCTTCTTTGACTGACAAGTACTTCACTACCACACGTCTTCAGATACAAGTGGGTCATCTCCTTCCAGCAGCTGAACTCAAGTACACAACTGGATCAGCACTGCCCTCATGAGTCCTTCCCCTACTCAAATAAAAGACATAGCGTTCAGGCTACCTGCAGGCAGCAGCCTCTGAGAGCTGACAGAGAACCAACTGCCATCACCGGATGTCCTAGTGCTTGGGTAGCCCCTCAGTCACACAGGTGAGAGAAATTTCTATCTTAAGTGAGAAAAAAATTGTACATTCTACCTTAAACTACTACCTTGAAATTTTGGACAGTTATGCCTTGAAAAGTGTACGTTTTGAGTATTTCTACTAACTGGTATATAAGTGGTGATCAAAACTTCCACGTAACAAACTGAAATTCCTTCTTTAACTTACTAGGGTATTTTGCTCATAAACTTGTATGGAAAATCCACGAGTCTGGTGAAGGGTCTCAAGAATTTATTTAGGTATAAAACAGGGGCAACTGATACAGGACAGGTTAGATGCTGCTACTGTTTCAGCTGCCTTCATCCAGTTGTTCTGTCCAGGGGTGAAGAACAAGCTGCCTGCTCTGCTCTGACCACCCAGCAAGAGAGTGAGAGACCCTTCCCCTCAGTTTATCAGTTGTCATGAAGCAGACAAGACCAAGACCCTAGGGCTTGGTGTGCTAAAAGTCATTGGCTAAAAGTATCAAAATCCCACAACATTGCTGGGCATTGGTGGCACACACCTTTAATCCCAGCACTCGAGAGGCAGAGGCAGGTGGATCTCTGTGGTTCGAGGCCAGCCTGGTCTACAGTGCTAGTTCCAGGACAACCTCCAAAGCAATAGAGAAACCCTGTCTCGAAAAACCACCAAAAAAAAAAAAAAAAAAAAAAAGGTAGTGATGCCACCACAGGTGAAGGACTTTTGTGGGACTTAGCACACTTCCCCCATTCACCTCACACCCTCTGAGAAGGGCAGTCTACCTTTGGCTGCCCCTTTGATTGTTTCCTGCCAGCCTCAGGGAAGTGATTGCTAGTGGCAGTGACATTGGATCCTAGTAGATGAGGGAAGGCAGTCAACAGAGGTGTGCTTTTCCAGTTGGAACTTGCTGAAGCAGCCTTTTAGCCCTGTGGGTGAAAGCTTTGGGCTTAAAGAGCCATGCCAAGAAGGCATAAGGCTTAAAGATTGGTAGGGCCGCCGGGTGTTGGTGGCTCATGCCTTTAATCCCAGCACTTTAAGGCAGAGGCAGGTGGATCTCTGAGTTCGAGACCAGCTAGTGCCAGGACAGCCTGGAAAGCCACAGAGAAACCCTGTCTCGAAAAACCCCCAAAAAAAAAAAAAAAAAAAAAAAAAACCCACAACATAAACTCAAATGAAACTCTCAGTTTCTCAGGAAAAAGTCTGATACCAAATACAAGACCCTGAGTAGGGGTGCTGGGTATATTGGTATCTACCAATCCCAGGCTCAGGACTTATGAGTTTGAGGCCAGCCTGTGCTCTACAGGGAGACCCCGTGGAAGGAAGGGGAAGGAGAAAAAGAAGAGAGATAAGGAAAAGAATGGGATAGGAAGGGAAGGAAAAGGGGGAGGGAGGAAAGGAGGAAGGAAGGGGAGAGGAATGTGGAGAAGACAGGAAAGGGGAGGGAAGGGAGAAGGAAGGAAGGGAAGAGAAGGGAGAGAGAGGGGAAGAAAAGGGGAGGAGAGTAGAGGGAGGAAAAAGGGGAGGGAGAAGAGAGGGGCAAGGGAAGGTGGAGAGGAAGTGTGTGTGGGGGGATCCTAGGGTTGGAAAACTACACAACTGGAAGACAATGTTCCCACCACAATCTGCTCACCCCAAGCAAACCACTCAGTAAGAGCTGACAACTTGTTTTCTGAAGCTTACTCAATGGAAAGAGGTAGCACCCAAAGATGGACAGTAAGGGGGGGTGTGGTGCTTCTTCACTTGGTCCCACAATAAACAGTTGGGTGCAGGGATCAGGCTCAAAGTATCTCACACCTTCAGGAGGAACAGTAGCTACCAGTTCCCCTGAGCTCTACCAGGGCACAGGGTGTGGCAAGGCACCTGCAGAAGCCCCTGTCAGACTGGGAACCATACCTTGCCGTCTGGGCTCCCTTGTCGTCGTCAGAGCTCACGCCCACATCGCATGTGTCGTCCGCGGCAGGAGAAGCTGCCTGCTCCTCTTTTCTATTGTCCTGTTTCCACTTCTTTCTCCTCCGTTTTTTTTTCTTCACAGAACTTGGAGTGAAAACCGTCTCTGTTTCCAGGGCGAGAGAAGCATCTGAGCTTTGAGATGGCCTTTCATCTCCACTTGATTTCACCAAAGGGCTGTCAATGTCTTTAAAGAACTGGTCTTCAGTAGGAATTGGTGAGGTGGCAAGATAAGCAGGCAGTTTTTCCTTAAAGAGCAAAAAGAAAAGTTACTCACAAAAAACTGGACAGTTATCAAAACAATAATTAATTCCTCAAGTATACAACTTTTCACAGGGGTTGGAAGGCACAGTTCCTAAACCTAAAGCTAAGAAAGTAAGTCACCTTGCTAGACTCAAATAAGCATTAGTTCATTTCAGAATGTAACTGAGTCAGCTCAGCAAAAGATGGAAAAAGCTGCAATTAAATTCTGAGCCAATTAGCCAGATGGTGGTAGTGCACACCTTTAATCCCAGCACTCGGGAGGCAGAGGCAGGAGGATTTCTGTGAGCTGGAGGCCAGCCTGGTCTACAGAGTGAGTTCCAGGATAGCCAGGGCTACACAGAGAAACCCTGTCTCAAACAACAACAAATCTGAGCCAATTATATTCTGTACAAAGAGCTATCCAAGTGGCAGCCTTGTGCTGAGTATGACAAGGACTGACACAATGGTAACAATGTGGTGAAGCAGAGAACAGGTCAAGGCCACATCTGACGAGGGCTGCAAGGTGAGTGAGGCCAGGAACCAGGAAGAGGCCCAATGAATGGAGGGTGAGGGAAGGGATTATGACAGAAGCAGCAGCCTACCATGAATGAAATCAGTGAATTTCATCCCAAATACCCTTTCAGGGGTTCAAAAGAAGAAAACGTGGTCCAATATTTAGAATAAGTATTCAACTTAATTCGGAGTGTGTGTGTGTGTGTGTGTGTGTGTGTGTGTGTGTGTGTGTGTGTGTGTGAATACTGTGTGCTGCACAGTATCAGTACGGCATCAGAGAAGTTCTCGCCATCTAGATACCAAACTCAGGTAGTCAAGCCTACACGAAATGTGCCTTAACCTGTAAACATGTCTTCCAAATTTAAAGGTCACATATGTACATGCTCACACACACACAGTAACAGAGATATGCCTCAAGGCAGAACGGAATGAATTCAAGTCAAGCATAAGTTTCAATGGACAGGAGGCAGGAAAGCCTCTGATACTGGATATTCTCCAAACCCCGCAAGCTGGTGTCAGCTCTTTTTCAGAAGTTTACTTCAACATGTACTGAAAGCTTGTTTAATCAATAACAATCATTATTGACCAGCTGTCTTGAGACATGTTCTTAAAGCCTGACATGTGCACAGGGGCCGTGCCTTTGAGAACTTACATATTCTTCTTCCGTCTCCTCTACAAAGAAGGCTTCTCCATTGTCACCCAATTTCATGTGAAGATCCACTGCGTTACCATTGATTTCTATGTCAATCTAAGGAGCAAACAAACATAATTCAGCACAAAGAGTCTTTCATTCAGGCTAATCTAAACCTAAATTCTTGGCTCACAAGCTAAACTTGGCACTGGGTTTCCCAGAGAAACACTGCTACTAGCCCCAGAGCCTACCTCTAAAAGAAATAAACTTGGGTACTGAGAGAGGCAGGCAGCCGAGAATTGCAAGAAAATGTTTTCACAGCATTTTAAAGTTTACTGCTTAATCTCTCAATTTCTCTTCAGAGGACAGGGTCCTGCTAAGCAGCCTACCCTGATCTTGAACTCCCAGCACTCTGCCTCAGATGTTCCAAGTGCCACAGTTACAGGTCTGACACATTATGCCCATCTTAACCTGCCAAATTTTTTGAAATGGGAGAAATATTGTTAGCAAACATTTCTGTGCTTTCCAAGTTACAGCATAAGCAGGGCTTGTCTCACAGGATTCAAACATGCAAATGTTTCAGTAACCCTAGTGTTGAGCTGTGAGTGAGTTCTCTGCTGGTATTTTTATTCCAGGTCAGTATGCAACAACAGATGCTGTCAGTGCCAGTGAGCAACCACTGTTCTTCTGTGAAGTCTGCTGGGGGCTGACACTGTGTTCAGCCACAGAGCAAAGCCTGGGGGTATGTGGCTATAGAGATCTAACTTCTGTATGTGTGTGTATGTGTATGTATATCTTTGTGTATGTTGTGTGCGTGTGTACATGTGTGTGCATGGAGGTCAGAGACCAACTGACAGCGTTGTAAGAAAAATTCAGCTTTCTCAAGGTGTCACCTGGTATATTAGTCCACATCCCTCGTCAAGGAAACTTCTTGCCACAGATGGCGATCACTACAGAAAACCACAACCTCCCAAATGCAGAGCTGGGGAGCCCAGTCCCAACGTATACAAAAAACTGCACTCATGGAACATTGCAGAAGAAAGGCAGAAAGACTGTAAGAGCCAGGGAGGATCTGGGAGTCGGCTGGAGGATTGGGTTTCCTGGGGATGTTAGAGGTGACACCTACAGAGCATCACCAACTGGACTACTCAGCATGAGCTGAACAAAGACAACAACACACATGCTAATGTGGATGGGGTGGGAGACCAAGAAGCTTCAACCTTATACATATATGATACATATATGATAACAGGCAACTACGGAATGCTAAGTATGAGAAACTCTTCCCCAGGCAAGAGCAAACCAAGTGCTTATCATGATCTGTCCTGAAAACATACATACAAATAACATTATACAGACTAAGTGGGATATACTTACACATTTCAGAACACACACACACACACACACACACACACACACACACACACACACACACACCCTACCAGTTTCCTGATTTACCAGCTGAGACATCCTAGAAGTAATGATACCTTAGTAGTAATGGGAAAAACCTGTGGCCAGGTCATTCCTTTTAAATACTAATTTACTTAAAAGCAACCAGAGCTCTTCTGATATGTAAAATGAATGATTCTAAGTTTGAAGCAAGGAAGCAGATTTTCCTAGACTAGCATATGGAGGAAGGAAAAAAATGGACCAATTTGTGCAACTAAAATTATAAGGATATGGGAAAATCTATACAGTAAAACGAATACCTATGAATTCACATGGATAGAAACTGAGTAACTGAATAATTAAATAGAAATGAGAACAAAGATAGCCCTTTGTATGCTAAAATTTGTGGGCAACAATATGGGAAACAGTAATATTTGTACAGCAAGCCTCATGAGGCAAAAAACAAACAAAAGCAAACATTCTCCTACAAGTGGATCCATGATGGAAAAACCCTAGGAGACACCATGAATCAAGGGATTCAAAGTTTCTATCAACAATACTAAGACACGCAGTACAGATGATGCCCACCCTTTAGTAAAAGTGAGCATCATTCTGTATTCTTATTTCAAAGAACCAAATGGCAAACTCACACTGAGCGACAATCTACACAATGACTCCTGTATCCTTACCAGATCAGTCACAGGGGAGGACTAAGGAGCATTAAGGGCCATGTGCAATACAAATCAACATTAGATAGGGTACTGGGACAGAAAGCAGAAAGTCCTAGAAAAACCGATGAACTCTGGACTATGCCTCTGGTTCACAGCATATGCCAATATAAATTTCTGGTTTTGGCCAAAGTACAATGGCCATATAAAATGCTAACATTAAGGAGAAGAAATTGGGCAAAAGAAACTTTTAATTTTTTATTTCTTAAAATTGTTCTATTTATTTCTGAATATTGGGAGGAGGGCAGAGGCCATGGTGCTCAAGTGGAGGTTTAAGAACAACTTTCCGGAGTTGATTCTTTTTTTGCCACCAAGTTCCAAGGACTGAACTTCTGCCATCACACTTGGATGACAAACACTGTCACTACTGGCCATTCTCACCCACCTAAAAGGGGTTTTATGAATTATATTTATAATTTGACTGGAAGTCAAAAATTAACTAAAAAAAAAAAAAAGTAAAAAAAAAAAATCAAAAGCACTTGGGAGGCAGAGGCATGTGAATCTCTGTGGGTTTGAGGTTAGCCTGGTCTACACAGCAAGTTTCAGGACAGCCAGTGTTGCAAAGTAAGAACCATCTCAAAAACCAAACAATAAATAAATGAAAGCTGGTCAGCATGACCCATGTCCATAATCCTAGCACCAGGAGAATCAAGAAGGAAGACAGTAAATTTGAAGGTAGCCTGGACTATATACAGAGCTCCTGGCCAACTTGCACTGCATAGTGAAACCCTGTTTCAAACATATAAACAAGGTAATAAAACTCCTTAAGAAAAAAAAAAAAAAACATGGGGAACCATCAGAGACTAGAGCAGACTAAGGTGACAGGACAACTCAATGTTTCTTATCCCGAATGCTGAAATAGTTTGCATGGTAAAAACACATGTTAAAACTTGTCATGCATTCTTTCAAAGCATGTACTTTATCGTATGCTTATTACAAATAAATCAAAAAGGTAAGTATCATATACAGTTAATAATACACTAATTACCCTACACAAACACATTCCTTTTACCTTTTAGAGGAAATGGCCACATGTGCCATTGTGTGTGTGTGAGTGTACACACACACACACACACACACACACACACACACAACCACACACACACACAAACACACACACACCCCCCTAATGTGCCATTGTGTGTGTGTGAGTGTACACACACACACACACACACACACACACACACACACACACACACACACACACACACCCCTAAGTGAACCTTTGTGAAAAGGCATCAGGTTGATCTTGTGTGCCTTTCTGGATTGCTCGACACTTTATATACTGAAGCAAGATTTCTCTGGACCTTAGGGCACACTTTGGTTAGTGTACCTAGACAGTTTGTTCCCGTGGAACAGGTGGAAATGGGTATTCAATAGTTAACAGTTAATGGAATTAACTGTTGGCCTAGTGAAGCAATCAAATCCCCAATTACAAAGCTTGCAGAGAATGCCCCATCAGTTCTTCATCACCTATAGACAACAAGTGCTTACACACAGTGGTTGCAGCTCTGAAAGGCCAAAAGACTGAGTCACCCAATCAATCAGAAACCTGGCTCCAGGGTGGGGTGGGGTGGGGTGTAGTGTGGCTGGGGAGAACTTACTGGAAAGACCCTCCCCCCAAAGAACTTTTATAAATAGATCCTTGAACACCTAATGAGAAACTTCAGGGCATAAATGGTTTGAGTTCACCCCCAATCTGAAAGTACTTATAGTGTCACTACAAAAAATACAAAGATGTCATCGGTTAATCCCAGTACTCAGGAGGCAAAGGCAAGTGATCTTTGTGAGTTCGAGGCCAGCCTGGTCTACAGAGCGCATTCCAGAACAGCCAGGGCTACACAGAGAAACCCTGTCTGGAAAAATGAAACAAAAAATCTACAAAGAAACAAATACCAAGGCACTAAGTATGGCTGGATAAGGCTGTCCTGGGGCGGGGGGACGACTAAGTCGACAGTAGACCTGTAGCTGCTTTTGTTCTTTCTCTGAAGGTGATTAAGCAAAGGCTAGTCTGCAAAATCTAGTGCAGAATGACTCTAACACTTTGAAAAGAGGAAAGAAAAAGGCTAGTTTTGGGAAATCAACAAAAAGCTCATCACGCTTAACTTATATGTGTTGGTCTTTAACACACACATTTCCATCTGTTCCAGGAAGTGGGGCAGTGCTCTTCCAGGGCTCCAAAATGTTAGTAAGAGTGGCTGGTATCATCCAGGTAGACAATGTGGGCATGAAAAGTTGCCAACTACACACTCTGCAAAGTTTTATTAACTAACTCAGTTTTAAAACTACACACACACACACACACACACACACACACACACACACACACACACACACACACACACACACACACACACACACAACACACAACCCTCCGCCCAATACTCAAGGGAGGGAAAGGATATTAAAAACAAAACAAAAACCAAAAATCCAAACAACAATACTCCCCCAATAAAAGCAAAAGAGGAAAAACACATTCTATTGGGGAATTAGTTTCTTTTAAACAAATATAACCTACACCTGATTCCACGAGCTCAGTCTACTTAGTCATAATCAGTATAATAGTATTCTTTCTACCTACCTACCAACTAACCAACAACAGGGTCTCATGTATCTCATGAGCAGAGGATGACCCTGACCTTCTAGTGGTCCTTTTGTCTGTCCATCCTCAGTGCTTAGGTTACAGGCACTGGCCACTATGTCTGACTCATATATGCAGTGACAGTGACGGAACCCAAGGCTTTGTACATCTATGCAAATATTATACTGACGGATATACCTCTCTAGCCTGTAGTATTTTTAGAGAGCCTCTTTTTTTTTTTTTTTTTTTAATTAAGACTTTAAAGCCTGCATGTGAACCACAGGGTACATATCAGGGGGAGTCTGAGTAACTTTCCATTATGCTCTCTTGTTCCACCGTGTGGGTCTCAGAGGTTAAACTTGGGTCATCAGAACTGATGGCAAAAGTTTTACCTCACTGAGTCATCTTGCTGGTCCTACACTATTTTAAAGTGCTGCCTTAAGTAAAGGAAAATTTTCTTTTTCAAAATAAGCTCAACTTCCTTGTTTTTAACTATCTTCTAAGTTTCAACATGTAGGATTTATCTTCATAATTTCAGTTTCTTTTTCATTTGGAGAAACTTCCTGTAATAGAATCTTGTGAATTTAGAAGCTACTTCAAAAACAATGGTTCCTTATCGCTGTCTTCAATAGCATTCAAGAAAACAAAAGAGTGGTGGGGTGTGTGCACTCCTTTTCCACCTTAAAACAGGCTGCACACTGCACTTACCACTTTCTCCTTGGATCTCAGGACTCCCAGCTTTCCAAAGCGCACGTGAAAAGGTGAGCACTGGTAGGTGCCATCCTGCTGCCGAACCACAACAACATCGATGCACCCAGACAAAGTGGCTTGGTTAATGCCCTTGTAGAGTTCCTTTACAGTGACGAGCACCTGCCCCGCCAGCTGGCCCACATAATTCATGGTTTGAGACTGTAAGAAAATACATATGATGTCAGCACTGAATTTGCCAACTAATAACAATGACCAAAAAAAGCTTTTTTTGATTAAACATACACTTGTTTGCTACTCAGAGCCCATTCCTCTCCTGCTGCAGCTGCTGCTGGGTTCACATCTCTACACAAGGACAGACACCGCTGACCGGGAGGTGGCCTCTAGGTGGGGCCTGAGGCTGCGGAAGTTCCACTTCCTTTTACAGCCCCAGGGTGGGGCCAACTGTCATGAAGTCCACTAACTCCATCTCCCTCCACCAATAGAGCTCAGGACCTGTAGAGAATCAACGAAAGAACCCTAACAGCCACAGCCGCACTCCCGTCCAGGTGGTTTGGAACTTACTGACTCCACTCTGACCACAGCGGCCAAGCAGAAAAGGCCCAGGGAGATCTCCACCAGAGACTAGAGACTCATCTTCACAAAGAAAACAAGGAATACAATTGACAGATGAGATGTTACGGTTCAGACGCAGGCTTCGTCTAACAAACTACAGTGAGCTGCCCCATGACTAACACACGCTAACAGCACTTTGTAGGGAAATCCCTCAGTACCTCAGCACAACCAACCCAATGGGGCATAAGCTTGTGTCCCATGGTATTCAGAGCAATCCTCAACTTCAACTCACTACTCAAATCATGATCACCAGAGCCCTGCAATTTGAAGACAGGGAGGTGCACCTAAATTTGGCTTTTCCTCCCACCCCATTCTTCCACTGGGAAACCCAATCCACAGAAACAAACCCTTTAGCCCTCAGGGAGTCAGCTCGCATTCCAGCGGTTGAGTACACCATCACTCAACAGACACTTTAATGTTATGTCAAAGCCAAATCCATGGAAAGTCCTTATCCTTGATGTAGGGTCAGATAAACCCTCCAGTTCTAGGCTAATCCAGAAGTCAATTTTTATCAGACTTCAAGAGTGATGAGTCCAAACTATTAACTGTGTGTGCACAGTGTTCTCTTTAAACCAATATTGGAGTTGCCCAAAGCTCAAAGTTCCATCTCTGCAAAGTTCTAGAGAGACATTCTGTGTTGTCAGGTAAATCCTAGATGGAACAGGGACGAAGTGCTGATCCCTAGAGAAGAGGAGGAGGCCTGCCAGCTCCCGTCTGCATTTAACTCACCCTACTCTACAGAGACACCAGTGTCTAGGGCAGCACAGACTGTACTCAACAGTCTACAAAGAGAGGACTACAACCAGGTCTAGCTGCTTGGCAGCCTGAGACATAGAACCCGGATCTTGGGTACTGATGTGACCAAGGCTTCAAAAACTGCACATACCAAAGAGCTGGCTTTGAGCAATGAACAGCAGGAGCCAAACTTACTACAATCTCCTAAGGTGGAGTCCCTTAGGTATAATTATGAAGCAATTACAGAACGGTAAATTTGGTTTTAGGATGTCTGAATTGGCTTTGATGGCAAGGACCATTTAAGCATATATCAAATACTCAGTTTTTTTTTTTTAAATTTTTATTTTATTTTATTAGTTCAAATTAGGAACAAGCTTGCTTCAGATGCCAATCCCTTCTCCCTCTCCCTCAACATCCCACCTGCCCCTAGCCATCCCCCCTCCACTCCCCAGGCAGGGTAAGGCCCTCAAAAGGGGCTCCCCAAAGTCTACCACATCATCCTGGGCCAGGCCTAGGCCCTTCCTCATGTAAAATACTCAATTTTTGATGAATTTATTTATTTATTAGGCAGGATCTCACTGTGTAGTCCTGGCTGGCCTGAAACTAGAGAGGAAGACTAGGCTGCTTTTGAGCTCACAGAGATCTGCCTTCCCCTGCCTCCTGAATTCTGGGATCAAAGGCTGTGCCACCACATCTGGCTAATCTCTCTCCAGGGTTTCACTTTGTAGAACAAGTTGGCCTAGAACTCAAAGTCAAATAAAATACTATTTTAGGTGTGTGTCACTGTATCTGACAATAATTACTTCTTGGATGAATAAAGGAAAAAAATCAAATGAACGACCAATAAATAAGCTAAGACCAACAAGCAAAGACATATACTGTGTGTAGCAAAAATATTGTTCCATCCATCAGAATATTCATGGGGCATCTCATCTATTTCTTTTCTTTGTTTGTTTGTTTTGTTTCATTTAAGACAGTCTAACTGTGTGGCCCTGGCTGGTCTGTAATTCACGTCCAGGACCTGCTGGCCTTGACTCTCAGAGATCTACTTGCCTCTGTCTCCTGGTTCCATCAGGCTTGGCTCATTTTATTTTTAAAAATTTGCCTTTCTAGATCAGGAGTTCAAGGGCACCCTGAACTATCTCCTCTAAGAAAGGATATGGCTGCAGGGCTGGAGAGATGGCTCAGAGGTTAAGAGCACCAGCTGCTCTTCCAGAGGTCTTAAGTTCAATTCCCAGCAACCACATGGTGGCTCACAACCATCCGTTATGAGATCTGGTGCCCTCTTCTGGTGTGCAAGATATACATGGAAGCAGAGTGTTGTATACATAATAAATAAATAAAATTAAAAAAAAAAAAAGGATACGGCTGCATCCAAAGCCTCTACTGAGCATCCTCTACTTGGGACGCACTAGCAAAATATCACCACCAGTAACTTCTTCTCCTCAGTCCCTACCAACTATAAATATGTTCTCTATTTCTGAAATGTCTACCATTTTAGAAAGGACGTCATATAAACAGCACCATAAAGCATGAACCCTTTTTGGACTGCCCTCTTTCCCTCATACTTTTTCTGCAGACTTACCCAGATGGCTGTATTAATAACACATTCCACTTTATCACTACATAGTATTTCATGGCACAGACTTACCATATAAAACAGCAACAACAAAAAAACTCTTTACTTGTTGAAGGCCAGGTACCTGCAATCTCTGGCTATTACAAATAAGGGCATAGTTATACAGGGTCTTTGTGGATGTGGATTTTCATACTCTAGGATAAATGCCTAGGAGGACAACTGAGTGCAACTTTTCAGTTGCAAACAAAAGTGCAGGCTTAGCTGTTTTGGAACAATCAGACTACTACTTTCCAGGATCATGACACCACTTTACATTCCCACCAGCAATGGGAGGGGGGAGGTGACATTGTCCATCATCCTCACACAATGCGGCACTTGACTGGACTGTTTACTTCAGCTGTAACATACAGTGATCCGAATTTCTGTAACAGCTAATGGTGCTAAACATTCTTTTCATGTACTGACATGTGCGTCTACCTACAGTCTGACAGAGTCCTTGTCTCAGAGGGAAAGGAAACGCAGACCTTTGTTCTCACTTCTGTGGTCAAAGACTATCTCTAAAACCAAAACCCAGGTGAAATGCATTTGGAGGTAGTTCATCGTATCACTTTTACCAGGAAATGTTTCTCTGCCACCTAGCACACTGAGTTTTCCTGTTCTTTAAAGTCACGCATGTTTACAACATGCTGTTTTGCCTGTTGCAGCTTATTAGCTAGGTGGCAAAAAGAGTCAGTATTACATGACTGACTGAGGAGTCAATGCTAAAATGAACATTGTTATAATTTGCTAAAAAAAAAAAAGTGCTGCGACTTTAAAAAAAAACTGAAAATGGCAATTTTTAAACATCTCCATTCAACCATAAACAATTCTCTTCTAAATGTGTAAAAGCTTACACCAATTAGAGCATACAGTCCATAATTAAGTGTAACAACGTCTATTCAGGATCATTTTAATTACTGTGGTTAAGAGATGTGCTGTTATACATAAAAATCTATTGTGCAAAAGCTAGTTGGTAAATGTACAAAAATACAGGCTGTCAAGAAAACTCATTTTCTCTTGGAAGACATGAAGCCATTAGGTTTGTATTTTGTACACTGAGAAAACAAAAATATATGGAGTCCAGGGCCTTAACATGTACCATGCCCCAGAAATGGCCAGGAGCAACCAACCTGCTGACTACATAATACATTTAGTAGCAGTAACTTTAAGAGCGTTCACTATATCCCAACTTACACTACTCAGAGACAGAATTTCACTGCATGGTCTGGGCTGCTTGGAACTATGTAGACTAGGCTAGCCTCAAACTCACAGAGATCTACCTGCCTCTGCCTTCACAGTGCTAGGATCAAAGGTGTGTACCACCATGCCTGCAACTATTTTAAAAGATAAGGTGACTCAAACTTCAGAGACACAGGTAATGTTATAAGGTGGATGTTTTATGTGTTCTCCCTCCCACCTCCACTCCATGTACTAAAGCCCTAACCCCTGAAGTGAAGGGATTTGGAGATGGGCCATTGTAAGGCACCCAGGTTTAGATGAGGTCATGAGGGTGATTAGAAGTGTCTCAACCTCACTGGTGTCCTTATACACACAGAAAGACAGAGATAAGAGCTTGTATTTTCTTTTACTCTGTCGTGTGAGGACACAGCAGACATCTGCAAGCCTATAAAAAGGGCCCCCCTTCCCCTTCCCCCCTCTCCCTCCCTCCCTCCTTTCCTCCCTCACTCCCTCTGTGTCTGTCTGTCTCTGTCTCTGTCTCTCTCTGCAACTCAGCCTTGGACTTTACGCCATGCCAGAACTGTAATAAATTTCTATTGTGTAGGCCTCATTAGTTTAGGTCAGATGCTACCCATGACATTTTCTTCTGGCCACCCAAGTGTCTTCCAGGTGTCTTCGTAAACAGCATATGCTGCACTCACTTTAGCTTTGTGAAACACACACTACCAGCTACAGAGACCACTTTCTCAAACAACTCCAGTTGCTGTGATACCTTGGCAACCCTGCTCTCTAAGGAACGACTGGGTTCTCTCACTTTTATGAGATACGATGGTTCAGTGACAACCTGAATTACAGACTAGCAGGACTGTCCAAGAGGACATTGTTTGACAACTACTAGTACTTTTAAAGATCAAACACACCTCATTCAATCTTCAAAAATAGGGCGTAGGTTTGCAAGGCCAGAGACAGAGACAAGTTGTCTGCATCCCACTACTGTACACTAAAACCTGGTTCCAACCTCAACCCAGGGTTCCAAATCTGGTGCTCCTGAAGGCTGGGTTTTCCTGGTAGGGTAAAAAGGGATGGTGAAAGAAAAGCCTGGCCCTGAGACCAGAGCCAAAAAGCCACACACTGCCCCTAACCAATTCAGGAACTGAAAACCAACCAACCCCTGAGCACAAAAATTAACCAATCCCAGAGCACAAAACAAACCAATCCCTGAGCATGAAATCTAACCAACCTCTGATCCTGTCCCAAGCTCAGGAATAGAAATCTTACTAATCCCCACCCTCCCCTAAGAAACCCTATATAAGCCCCGTGCCTGCTAAGTT